ATCCCAAATCTTTTATTTGCACCACCCCCAAACTATAATCTTCTCTGTTTTATATAAAAGTACTGCAGAATATTCAATTATTCATGAATTGAAAAACATTAATAGCGTGTTCGGTAGAGATTAAAATCGGATTAAAATTGAAAAATTAGTCGTTATTGTTGACTTTTATTTGATGAGTGAGATCCAATAACATCTATATTTTCAATTTTAATTGGATTTTAAGCACGATCGAACACGCCCTAAAGGTGAAATTCAATGTACTTATGTGCGAGAGTCGCCAACATTGCCGCCACACTGGTGGAACGACATCATCGCCTGAACTTTCAAGCCGTGTTTCTTGGCCATTTTCGGGAGCTTGGTTTATCCGCCCCACTTGTACTCATTGGGCGGCTCCCTCTCCACCAACCCCCACCAAATGTCCATCATTATTCCCTCCACACTGGCGCTCTTCAATGTCTATAAACTCGCATTCATCACTTTTTTCCTATGCACATACACCGAAACCTCTTTTTTACCCCCCTTTTCCAACGCTCCTCCGCCCAAAGTATACTCTCTCTCACCGGACTGTTCCTTTGTTGCAAAAGGAGAATTTGTCAAAGCTTTTGCCCCACCGTAGGTCCGCCCGCATGCCGCCATGGACGGGGCTCAATGGCAGAGATGGTGACACGGTCAATCTCCACTTTTGCACCGAAACCCGTAAATTTGAACCCGGCGTTCTCCACACCACACTAATGGAGGCTTTTAGCTTCATTTGAACCTTAGCCTTTTAGCTTCATTTGAACCCTGATTTTAAGGTTATAAAACTATGGACGCTGGTGGGTCGTGCTTGTTAGAGGTGGGATGTAGTGGAAGTAGGGAAGAAGAAAAAGTTTTAAAGGTTTGGAATTGTGAGTGGTGCAGATGAAAGATTTTGGTGTAATTTGTAAAAATAATAAAAAGTTCGGGATTACAAATGCAATTATTCCTCTTTAATTTTTGTAATTTTTACTATTTTTAACAATCAAACTAATGGAATTGGACGGCATGGGAGTCTTCCGTCCAAAAAAAAAGTTGTATTTCGCACAAAATATTTCAAATACGGAGTCTTTAGCGATTTCCAATAGTTGGGAGGGTATGTCGCAAATATAAACGTTTATATGAGATTTTCTGCTATTAATCCTTTAACAAGATGTCTATGGGAAATGTTATTGGCATAATGGTTGTACAACTAGAAAATGAAATTGTTAGTAAAAATGCGTTTAATAATTTAAATTTAACTTAAATCAATGTTGATTCTGATTACATATGGGAAAATCTCCAAATCCATTGACCTTGAAATAGGTTAGAGAGCGGCATCATCATGGCGCATGCGGACAAATTCTGTGTAGTTACAACGAATTTCCATTTCGAAAATAGTTTGCATGTGGACAATTTATGATTTATAAGTCAGACAGCCAGCGTCTATGAATTTTAGGCAAGTACAACTAAAAATATTATGTGACAAATTAAATATAAATACGACCATTGAAATCTGGTGCACAACTTGACCTCAAACACTTGTGTTATTATATATGTGTTTTAAGTGTATTTCAAACATAATTTTCACGGCGTACAAAGAAAAATTCTTCATTAAGATCAAGCCTCTATACTTTGTAATCAGCTATTAGTCCCTTCTTATATTTAGTGAAATACGTAAGGGGAAGCTTTGAGGTAATTCAATAACATTCTTCATTTATTTATATATCTTATGAGTAGTTAATAAAAAAGTGCAATGATAGTGGTACAATTAGTCTTGAAATGTTTATCATAGTTATTCTTTATATCATCAACCATATTCTAGTATGTACAAATGTTCTTGTTTACATTCTAGCTCGATCACTTTTTTAATTAATAGCTAACTATATTAGTTCTCAGACAAAAACAAAAAATTAATTCACACAACTTTTGTTTTGAGAATGAAAAAAAATAATAATAATAAAAAATAATATANGTTGTCGAAAAAATGCCTCAAACTTGCCCAAAATATCTGAAAATTCAGTGACCGTCTGTGAAAGAAATTTCAAACTTCAGTGACCGGTGCTGAAACTTTGAAACTTCAGTGACCGTTTTGAAATTTTCAGGTAACTTCAGTGACCATTTGTGAAATTAATCCGTTATTATAAAGTTATAATGTGATATATAAAAATGAGTGTTGATACAAAATGTGTAGTTAAAATTAAAATTTGACTTTTAAAGATAAATTATAAATGAATTTTTTTTAGGTTTACCAAACATACGCAATATTTCAAATTAACATCAGTTGATTTTTATCCTGCAAATTTAACAAAATGATTAATAGTAGAAAACCCCTAGAAACGTTTACATTTGTGATATACCAGTACCTATTGGAAATCGTAGAAAATCTTCCGTTACAAATATTTTGTGCGAAATACAACCCTTTTTGTGCGAAAAACCTCGTGCCGTCCAATTCCATTAGTTTGACCATTAAAAATATGATTTCATTGCTAAAATTAAAGAGGAATAATTACAGTTGTGATTTCAAACTTTTTATATTTTTTGCATATTACATCAAAATCTTTTATTTGCACCAAACACAATCCCAAATCTTTTATTTGCACCACCCCCATACTATAATCTTCTCTGTTTTCAATAAAAGTACTGCAGAATTTTCAATTATTCATGAATTGAAAAACATTAATAGCGTGTTCGGTAGAGATTAAAATCGGATTAAAATTGAAAAACTAGTCGTTATTGTTGACTTTTATTTGATGAGTGAGACCCAATAACATCTATATTTTCAATTTTAATTGGATTTTAAGCACAATCGAACACGCCCTAAAAGTGAAATTCAATGTACTTATGTGCGAGAGTCGCCAACGCTGCCGCCACACTGGTGGAACGACATCATCGCCTGAACTTTCAAGCCGTGTTTCTTGGCCATTTTCAGGAGCTTGGTTTATCCGCCCCACTTGTACTCATTGGGCGGCTCCCTCTCCACCAACCCCCACCAAATGTCCATCATTGTTCCCTCCACACTGGCGCTCTTCAATGTCTATAAACTCGCATTCATCACTTTTTTCCTATGCACATATACCGAAACCTCTTTTTTACCCTCCTTTTCCAACGCTCCTCCGCCCAAAGTATACTCTCTCTCACCGGACTGTTCCTTTGTTGCAAAAGGAGAATTTGTCAAAGCTTTTGCTCCACCGTAGGTCCCCCCGCATGCCGCCATGGACGGGGCTCAATGGCAGAGACGGTGACACGGTCAATTACCGCTTTTGGACCGAAACCCGTAAATTTGGACCAGGCATTCTCCACACCACGCTTACGGAGGCTTTTAGCTTCATTTGAACCTTAGCCTTTTAGCTTCATTTGAACCCTAATTTTAAGGTTATAAAACTATGGAGGCTGGGGGGTCATGCTTGTGAGAGGCGGGATGTGGTGGAAGTAGAGAAGAAGAAAAAGTTTTAATGGTTTGGAATTGTGGGTGGTGTAGATAAAAGATTTTGGTGTAGTTTGTAAAAATAAAAAGTTCGGGATTACAAATGCAATTATTCCTCTTTAATTTCTGTAATTTTTACTATTTTTAACAATCAAACTAACGGAATTGGACGGCATGGGGGTCTTCCGCACAAAAAAAAAAAGTTGTATTTCGCACAAAATATTTCAAATACGGGGTTTCAACGATTTCCAATAGTTAGGGGGGTATATCGAAAATATGAACGTTTATATGAGAATTTCTGCTATTAATCCTTTAACAAGATATCTATGGGAAATGTTATTGGCATAATGGTTGTACAACTAGAAAATGATATTGTTAGTAAAAATGCGTTTAATAATTTAAATTTAACTTAAATCAATGTTGATTCTGATTACATATGGGAAAATCCCCAAATCCAATGACCTTGAAATAGGTCAGAGAGCGGTATCATCATGGTGCATGCGGACAAATTCTGTTTAGTTACAACGAATTTCCATTTCAAAAATAGTTCGCATGTGGACAATTTATGATTTATAAGTCAGACAGCCACAGTCTATGAATTTTAGGCAAGTATAGTCAACTAAAAATATTATGTGACAAATTAATATAAAACAACCATTAAAATCTGGTGCACAACTTGACCTCAAACACTTGCGTTATTATATATATGTTCCTAGTGTATTTCAACCATAATCTTCACGGCGTACAAAGAAAAATTCTTCATTAAGATCGAGCCTCTATACTTTGTAATCAGCTATTAGTCCCTTCTTATATTTAGTGAAATACGTAAGGGGAAGCTTTGAGGTAATTCAATAACATTCTTCATTTATTTATATATCTTATGAGTAGTTAATACAAAAGTGCAATGATAGTACTACAATTAGTCTTGAAATGTTTTATCATAGTTATTCCCTACATCATCAACTATATTCTAGTATGTACAAATGTTCTTGTTTACATTCTAGCTCGATCGCTTTTTTAAATAATAGCTAACTATTAGTTCTCAGACAAAAAAAAAAATTTAATTCACACGACTTTTGTTATCATCGTATACTTCATTGTCCTCTTTTACATCCCCATTATTTTATTATTTATTTATCGGTAAGAGAGAAGTAAAACTAAATCCCTGGAATTGCTTTACATCTGCCTATCATTACTTCAATTGGCATTGGGTGTAGGATTCCATTCTATGTCACAGGTTTAGCATTCGCAATAGCTTCAGTATCGCATTAGTTTAAACCTTTTGAGTTTGAGAATGAAAAAAAAAAATTATTTGAAGGGTGCTTATAGAAATAATTTTTTGACGGACTTATCTTTGAGGGAAATTCGTTTAAAAGCCCTAGCCATAAGTTTTGCATATTTGTATGTAAAAAGTTTTTAAAAGTCTTGCAGAAGTTTGTAAGACCACTGGCCTAGATTTTGTGGTGCAACGTGTTACTCAAGGGAAACTAATATCGAGGTTGTTTGATGAAACTTTTGATAAAAGTTTTAGCAAATTTTAATTGACATATTTTGCTCCCTCGTTTACCTTACCAGCTGAATGGCACGTAGAAACCGAAGACAGAGGGCAAATGGGAGGCAAAGAAAATTGAAAACTTATGAATCGGAACCAGAACTCGGAAGCGATGATGAATCAGAGCTATCTCGTGAAGATTCCCTGGATACTCATAAGAATCGTAGCAATCCACTTGTGCTGGAAGCACAAGTCCAACCGCTGCAAAACATGCATGACCAGATTGAAATTAAAGTCGAAAGACCTATTTTCAATTCCAATGCCAATGAACAACGTCTGACTGTTCATGCAAGTAAGTTTTTGAATTTTGTGTTTTACACTTCGTGACTTGAGCAAACTAAATACATGTGTACATTTTCTATTTATTTTTCGAAACAAATGCAATACTTTCATTACCTTTTCTTTCAAATGGTAGTGGTACAATTTCACATCTTATATTCTAGAAAATTGAGACTTCCATTCTCGTTGAGCATAGTAATTAACCATGGCTTTTCTCTTAGTTTGAAGCATTACTAGCATTTATTTTTTTAATAAGCATGTACATGCTATTGAGTCTTTGGATTTCATCTTAAAAAATCAACATTTGCTAAGAGAATAGCCCATGTACATCATTTATAATTTTAATAATTAGCCAATGTAGGATTTTACCCTTATTATGCCTTTAAAATGGTGTTTCATTTGTGAACACTAATATTGGAACCCAAATTACTTGTTTGAGCTGCATAGGCTTTGTTACTATGTTGAACCACTTGATTTCCCTTAATCTATTTTAAATTAAGAGGTGATGATTCTATACTTTATTTATGCTGGTTTATCTCCCCTTTGGTTTTATAAGTGTCACATAGTATTTCTTGCGAAGCTGTGGAGCTTTATGCATTTTTAACACATTTAACGATGGTCTCCCCACACATCATCAGGAAAAGGAAAAGTTAACACACTGAAGATGGGCCCCTATTTATATCGAGCTGCTCAAACAGGTGATTGGAAGGCTGCTAAAACTGCTCTGAGTTTGGAAAAAAAATATAGCTCTTATTGAGATAACAGAAAGAGGAGATAGGGCTCTTCACATAGCTGCTGCCGCCAAGCAAACAGCTTTTGTCCATAATCTAGTCGAACACTTGAATACGAGTGACCTGGAACTGCAGAATACACATGGAAATACAGCTTTCTGTTTTGCAGCTGTATCAGGGGTCGTAGAAATTGCCAAGGTCATGTACGAAAAAAATAAGAATTTGCCAACAATTCGAAGTAGCATAGGAAAGACTCCACTTGAAATGGCAATTTTGCTCAGAAACAGAAAAATGGTTGAATATCTTTACCCAATTACACCTCTTGAAGATTTCAACCCCCATGAATATATCCGGATTCTTGAAACAGCTACCCACACTGACATGTATGGTACGCAATATTTTTGATTTAAGTGATGAATTAGGTCTGAATACCTAAAAAAAAATATGTTACTTCTTTTCATTTAGACGACTAAATATGTCTGACTACTTCCACAATTTAATATACTTACTTTTCTTTGTGAGCAGATCTCTCTTTAAAGACGTTAAATGGAGCGGATTCAAGAATATGTACTTCTCCAGAAATAAACTTTGGAGCTTTAAAAGTTTTAGGTCGAAAATCTTTATCACTCAATCACAGAATTCAAGGACGGATATGGGAAAGACTTGTTAGCATCATTGCTACTATAACTTGTATTCCATGTAAGACCATAAACCTTTCTCACTCTTTTCCTCTCATTTATACTTGATAAGTATTGTACTTCAGCTCTTGCATTCAAAAGATTTCTGCTTACTAGATAAATTTATTCCTTAGATTATAGCCTCATGGATGATGATTTTGTCCTTATTACTCTGTTCACTCCAAAATATGTACAAACTGATGTTGTTTTGTCTTATTATCTTCTGCTGTTTAGGTTATCATAGAAACAGAAAAAATAGATTTTTCTACTTCTCATAGTATCTAATATTAGGATTTTTATTAATGGGGTGTTTGGTGGTGATTAAAAATAGTTTTTTAATAGATTGTGATAGAAGTGTTTGAAATGTGTGGTTGAAAAACTGTGAGATCCATGAAAGATGTGGTTAATATTGATTGATTGTTTGACTTTGAGTTATATTAAATTATGATTTTAATAAAAAACAAACAGGCATATATTGGAAGTTTCCGGAATGATCCAATGGAGATCTCATGTTAAAATTGATGATGGGAAGAACGAATTTTTTTAATATTCAGTTAAAATACTAATTACCCAATATATGCGTCAACCGTTCCAACAATTAGTTTTAATTCGTTAAAACTGAAGCAATGACAAAAATATTTTTGAACTAAATTTTATCATGGAATGTCTTGAACCTTCTTCAATTGTAACCTTAATCTTTAATTTCTTCTCTTTATAGATAATTGAATAAAGGTTCTAATTATCCCACTTTACATTAATGTATATCTGAACTAAACTAGGAAGGACGTCATAACTGCGTAGCGAATGCCAGTTTACTCCTATTTTTTTGAAATTTTTGGGTTAACAGTCCACGGGTTAATTTTGCTTATTTGTTTAGATTTTGAAAGGATGTATACTTCACTTCAAATGCGGAGACAAGCCAGTCAGTTGGTAAAGAGGCTGTGGGAACATATTATGACATTTCCGGACTCCGAAATCTTCAAACTAATTCAAAAGACAGATATTCCATGATGCAGCAGAAATAAGGAACGTTGAGTTTCTGACTTTGCTTATTCAATCATATCCTGATCTTATATGGAAACTCAACTCAAATAGATACTCCATATTTCACATTGCTGTTATTAACCGACAAGAGAAAGTGCTTAGTCTCATCCACCACATAGGAGCTGTTAAGGATTTAATTACACTCTATAAAGATGATAAAGGAAACAACATTTTGCACTTGGCTGGGAAATTAGCACCTCCAAATAGACTCAATATTGTATCTGGAGCAGCTCTTCAATTGCAAAGAGAGTTACGATAGTTTAAGGTGAGAAATTTACATGATAGTGAAATTGAATAATTTCGTATTTATAGTGAAATTGAATATATATGTGGATCCTGTTCTCTGAAATCTCCAATAGACTATTCTAAGTAACACTTATTCACCGCGTGAGAGTTAGATTTTGGATTGCATTATGCAATAATTTGAGTAAGTTTTTCAGGAGGTGGAGAAGATTGTACCGTATTCATTACTCGATAAGAAAAGCGATGACCTCAAAACACCAAGGGAGTTATTTTCAGAGGAGCACAAGAAGTTAAGAAAAGAGGGAGCGGAGTGTATGAAGGATGATGCAAGTTATTGCATGGTTGTGGCAACTTTAATTGCCATAGTCGCATTTGCTGCAGTATTTACCGTACCAGGTGGCAATAATGGAACAGGCACTCCAATATTCTTAAAGAACAAATGGTTCACAATTTTTGTTATATCTGATGCTGTGGCAATATTCAGCTCGACAACTTCCATAATGATGTTCTTGTCTATCTTAACTTCACGCTATACAGAAGCTGATTTTCTATTTTCATTACCGGCGAAGTTGATGGTTGGACTACTCTCACTATTTGCTTCAATTGTTTGCGTGGTCTTAACATTTAGTGCAACCTTCTTTTTGATCTACAACGAGGAAAAGCAGGGTCGATTGCGAAACCTTGTTGCTGCTCTTGCTTGCCTTCCAATCACTATATATGTAGTGATGAATTGTAGGTCCTGGATTGCCCTAGTCTACTCGACTTGCAGGACGGCTATGCTCTTGTTTCAACCTGCAGGTCGCCAGCGCCGTTTTTACTAATAAAAGGAGCTAGGACACTATTCATTTCTTTTTTTCTTTTTTTACATAAAAAATGGGTCGTGCTTTCTAGTTCAAAACAAGTGGAAAAGGTTTCTATTTTTTATACCATGGACAGATTCTGCTGGAAATGTGTACCAATTATTTGAATAATGATAAGAATGTTATCATGAGTGCTTCACACATCTTAGTTTGATATTAAATATGTGATTATCAGCGTTTTGCATGGCTTAGTTTGATATTAAGTATGTTATTACGACAAGTATTTCAATATTATGTACTTTTGTTTCGCAACCTTAGATGATATCCTTACATTTTATTCAACTTCAATCCCTAATCTAAACACAATTTATAACTGATTTAAAATTTCTCCATTTAAAAACAAAAACTTCATAAATTTCATGTTTAAATGAATTAATAAAACCCATGTTGCCAATAGAGGCGATCCACACATGATATTAATTACATTATCGAGACGGAACTCCAGTATTACATTCTACTCTGAAGTTTTTGTCCAAGATGTAGCAACATCCTCGGAGTCGGAGGAAAATGACCGTTTAGATGGCATGATGCTTATGAGCATCAACATCAGCATTTCGAGTGGCAGTGAAAGATCCGACACTGAAATATGCATTCTGGACACTTGGCTACTAATGTTAGTCCTTCAATACTCCCTTAGTGTGGTTGCGTTGTAAATTATTAACTGGATTGGATTGTGTCCACTATTCCTCGTCGAAACTAGGGATGGAAATGGGGCGGGGCGAGGGACCTTTCCCGCCCCTCGCCCCGCTAAGAAATTCCCTGCCCCATTACCTATTTAAGGCGGGGCGGGACGGGGCCCCCATTACCTATCCCCGCCCCAAACCCGTCCTGGGACAAAATTTCCCTCCCTGTCCCTTCCCCGTTCCGGGGGGGAGGGGGCGCGGGTATTGGATTTGTCGGATTTTTTTGACATCCTTAGTCAAAACTCTCCTTGCAAATGAATTAACAGCCACTTAATTCAAAAAGGAAATTTTATAAGAAAATCATGGCTAAATTTTCTACATAATTAAATGATCGTAGATGGTAGAGTCGGACGTAAGGTGAGGCTTATGAGGCCGCCGCCACCCTAGGCCCAGCTCTTTAATGAGAACAAAAAAAGTTATGTTTCCTGATAATAATTAGTAAGTCCATGTTTGGTGGGAATCAAAAATTAAATTTTTAATAAATTTTGATAAAAATTGACGAAATGTGTGATTGAAAAGTTGTAAATTTCATGAAATAAATGGTTGAAATTGATTTTGTAGTTTGACTTAAAAAATTCTACCAAAATGAGGCTAAATGTCATGTCACAATTATAAGAATCAAACATGCACGTTTTTCACAACCCAAAGACTCAAGAGAGGAAAATTGGCAGTCTGAGCTTACACCATGGTCATGTAATTAATAACAAATAGATCCAATTTCTATTTTTCTAATCATTTTATGTAATTAATAACAAATAGATCCAATTTCTATTTTGTGGAATAAAATAAAGGTGAATCAAAGTAGA